AATGCTGACTACTTCTAGGTACTAAGTAGCAAGAGATAAAATTGAAAAAATATCTCCTATTATAAAAGGTCCAGATTATTTCTAAATTAAACAAATTGACTGAACTATGCAGCAAAGATCAGAATAAGGTTAGTACCTTTTCACTCAAGTCTATCATTTCTATTCATTTAAATCATTAAATTAGAGAGAGGCATGGAGGTGAGGAAGCAAAGACATAGGCAGACTTGGGAACTGAGTCAAAAAAATGTTTTTGTTTTTTTTTTATTGTGCATACTGGCACATGTAACTGACAAAAGCAAATATGTCAGAAAGTCAAGACAGTTTTAGATTGCCAAAGAAGCCACCAGTCTTCTTGCAAAATGTCTGTGACTGTTAAATACTTTAAAACAATTCTCAATTCCTCAAACTTGTATGAGCAAGACTTGGTCCATGAGAGCTCCATGTTCCTGAAAGAGGACATACTGCCCCAAACCTACTTCAGATGTGCCATGGAGAAAAATGGTCAAGGAGGTACCTTTCAGAGGATAAAAGAGGAGCCACAGAAGGTGGTTCTTCACAAATATTTGATTCAGGGTCTAATTAATGAAATCTACACTGCCAGGGAGACTTCCCAGTACCTACAATAGGGTCCCATTACTGTGTACTCTTGCTCTCTCATTTTGCCTTATTTTGAATAGAAGTTTTTATTGAGGTTATGCTGTCCCTGATACTATATTTACACATATAGCATATATACGCATATAGTATATATGTAGGTGTATGGTATATATGTGGATGTGTTGGTGTTGGTATTTGCCTTGGGGGGAATGTCACTGAATAATGAGACTTTTAAATTCATAGGTTGCCTGTTTACTATAAGGCACCACAACATTTGGATTATACATCATACAACATCCTTGCCTTTGAGCTGTTGGCTGCAACTAGATATAAATTTTGGAAATATTGAGATGCATCCCTTAGAGAAAGAGTAAGTGTATTCTCTATGTGAACAGAAGAATGAAATGTATATCTGGCAAAAGGAAGGGTAAGATGTGGCAGAGACTTATTTGGTGATTAATAACACCAGTTGCCTTCCCTCCTGGAACAAAACTAGACTCTCCTTCCCAGCTTCCCTTGAGATAGATGTGGCCATGTTACTGTGTTGGGGCCAGTGAACTATGGGTGCATGTGATGTTTACTGTTGTCACTACCAAACCATAAAATGCTCCTTTGTAATTGTGGGACATTCTATACTCCTGTCCTTAGCTGAATGGAGAAAACTTAGAGGTCCTACGCTGAGGCAGAGCTGCATGTTGAAAAGAGGCTAGTCCTCCAAATGACCATACTTACTGCAGATTGGACCATACGCTATCAAGGAATAAACTCCCACTGTATAAAGCCTCTGAGCTTCTGGAGCTTATTTCTCATATCACAATCTTAAAATCCAAAAGAAGACATAGAATAGGTGGACAGATAATTGGATCTGATGAGAGATCCTCCCTAAAGACTGTGAATCAGTACAATTACAGGTGATGATGGTGTGGCCATGGATGAGATCTCCTAGGGGGATATCACAGTTACTTTAGTAGAAAACCTACAGTGGAGCCCTGTGACACAGAGATTAATGGACCAATTGGTTATCAAGGTAGACATAAAAAGCACCCAGAGTAATCAGAGGAATGAGATCCAAGGGGGTAGAGTATATCAAGAAAGGAAAGGATATCAACTGTTCTTAAAGATGGCTTAAAATTCTAATAAGACAATGACTTCCAGAATTTCTGAAAAGAATGTGGTTCATAATGAGTAGGAGAGTTGCTTTTGCGAGTGGATCTATACCCAGAGGCCAAACTGGCATGGGTGGATCCATGTGTAAGAGATGAAGAAATTGAAACAGTGAACACAGGCAACTCTCATTTAAAATTTGGCTCTGAAGCAGGAAAAGATAGGGTGCTAATGAGTAATAATTGAGTTTATTTTTTTTTCCTTTTCATGCAAATAGAGATTCTTGAGTGGGTTTAGAAATGAATACAATACTTCCTTTCTGTTAGTATAACAAAATTAGAAATATGACCATCATCCTACCACAAGAAAATGACTAAAACGTGTTGAATGAATTTCAGATGAGATCTTCAAATGGCATTTAATAAAATTCAACATTCAGTATTTAGAGGGGATGTGTAATTTATGACTAGGAGAGAATTTCCTTATTCTGATACAAAGTATCTACAAAAAGCTTATGACAAACCTCATACTTAATGGTAAATGGTGAGAGAATCTCCTCAGATCAGGAAAAAGAAAGACAAAGGCACTCACTATCATCATTTACATTTAACATTTTTCTGAGGGCACTAGGTGTTATGGGGAGTGAGGAGAGGACAAAAAAGAAAGGAAAGGCATGAGCATTGAGCAAAGGGAACAAAATTATGATTATTAAGAGCATAAGTTTATCTACATAGGAAGCACAAAATAATTCAATAGTCAGCATTTATGAATATTCATCAACTTTGCTGCATATACATTTACATATAAAAATTAATTGAATTTCTGTAGTCCAGTTGCCAAGAGTTTGAACATATAATCCTAAAAATATATGACTTCCAATAGCAATTATAATATTTAGCAATACCTAGAAAGCACTATAGATAGCCAGAGCTATGCAAGAAAATTGAGACATTATTTTTATTGAGAAAATAATAGAAATGTATTAGAAGAGAGAAAAGAAAACTATACATCCACAGACTGGAAATCTTACTATCAATTTTTTTAAATAGGCAAATGTTTGGTGGCAATTGCAGGGTGGGGGAGTGGAGGGGTGCTGGGCATGGCCCAGGGCATCAGAGGGTGGGGATCAAGCAGCTGAGAACCTGACTGTCCCTGGGAAGAGGGGAAGTGTCAGGAGGCAGAAAGACATATAAGCAGAGGCTCCTGGCCACCTCTCACATACTCCATTGTCCCACTGGATTTCATTTGGGAAACACAAAGTAAAAGATAAAATTATTAAGAATTTCAAGACAATGACTACAGAGGACTAGACCCCAAGCCTGGGGTGCTTCTGAGCACAGAGCCTTCTGTAACCACACTGGCCATCGGCCCATGGAGCTATTCCTATTGATACCCAAGTCCTGCTGCCACGGAATCTGATTTGATTGGTCTATTGGGCATGAAAATGTTTAATGTCTCAGTGATTCTTATGTTTGGCAAAGATTGAGAACTGTCTGTATTAATAGGAGATTAACTAACAATTACATTATGGCTATACTATAGGATACTAAGCAGCCTTTAAAACGAATTAAGTAACCCTGTAGGTACATACTTGGAAATGGGTCTACCACATCTTTTTAAGTTTAAGACTCATTCTGTAAAGCATTATGTAATAGTTCTATTTCCTTAAAACATTTGTATATGTGAGTGTGTGTTGCACGTGTCGGGGGAAGGAGGCATGTGTTTGGATGTATACATGGTATTATTCAAGGTATATGCATATTGCAAGTAAAGAAAAAGTTCAAAAGAACATGCAACTTTTTTTAATATTGGCTATTTCATAAGAATGGGATTAAGGGAAAAATTTATTTTTATTTCTATATTCTTTACATTTGCTTAAGCATGTGTCACATTTCAATTGCTGTTTTCTCTTCCCTGTAGGATTTACTAGAGATAGGTCTTCTACTTCTTCTTCCCACTCTTCCTCCATCTTTCTCTCCTCTCTATTTCCCTCTCCTTCTTCTCTTTGTCCTTCTCTTTCTTTTTCTCCTTGTCCTCCTCTTTCTTCTCCTTCCTGTTCTTTCTCTTCTTCTCCCTCTTCTCCTCCTCCTCTTCTTCCTTCTCCTTTTTATTCTTCATTAAATTCTTTAAACAGAAGGAGCTGAGTCTTTAGGGGCAGAGTGGTGGTATTTGCATACCTCTTTTAAGTGATTACAGGTGGTATTTTAAAAGACAGCTCTGAGCAAAGCAAAAAGAGAATATCCCTATCAGCTGGAGGTACTCCCTCCCCACTGCTTCAATATAGCGGTGGAAACACAATAATGGATGCTTTAATCCTTTCCATTTCTATGGTCCTCTCTATTAAACAATTTTTCTGTCTTCCATTTTTCTCATCTCTCTACCAGCTCTAACTGCCACAAATTCACTCTGTGCAAATTTTCAGACTATCACAGAAATGTACGTCTGTTATGAATCTAGAGGTCAGCAGGTAAGTGGCAGAACACGATTTGTTCGGGGATGCCCTTCTGTCTGGGTCTAGTCCCGCACACAGGAACAGACAAGGGCTCTTCAAAGCTTTGATGTGAGAACGGAACTATGAGGTTATGACTGACTCGTCTTTGGAGTGGACTGAACAGACACACAAGATTGTTTTTATTACCATTTCAGAAGCAGGAGAACATAATGGGCTCCGAGTTGGCCAGCTGGCCAGGGGCATGAGTGTACTGTAACCCAGTGTGGAATCCTGGGCAACCCATTTAATCTCTTAGTTTTCTTTTCCTCATTTGGAAAACCCAGCCAACAGTGGATGCTCAAAACCATCTTGGAGTATTCATCCTCAGTAAGAGCCACCAGATTACTACAGCTACATGAGTGATCCCAGACAAGACCATAAGAGAACCGTTCAGCTGAGTCCAGAACTGTGAGCAAATGGATGGTTATTGTTTTAAGCCATTAACTTTTGGGGTGGTTTGTTACTTATCAATATATACCTGATATACCCAGTTATAAACCTATGCTGTTGACATTGAAATCAATAAATGATAACTAAGAGTGACCCATCAAATAAATTTTAAAAATTCTTCCACTTTCTGCTAGGTGAGAAAAATAGCAAACACATAGAACATAATCAAAAAATAGATTTTCAAATGCAATAGCAAATACAAAAATGTCTTTGTGAACAAACTTTTTGTGCTAGATTACCATTGTGTACTGTATAGACAAAAATAAGACATTTGTGTATGTGTGTGTGTGCACATATATGTTAATACATACAGAGAGAGAGAAGGAGAGAGAGAGAGAATTTTATTTGGGGAACTTACGGAAACATGATTTTCTATGAAGCATATGCTGGAAAATCTTGCACAAAGATTCTTCGCTTTGTGTAATGGCCCTGCAGGTACACTGCACTTGAAGGACAGTCCCAAGGGTACCGATGTAGGCAGCTTTGCAGTCATCACTTTCCGAGCAAGTGAGGTCCTGTTTGCTTAAGGTACTGATGCAGTTCTCATCTTCATGGCACTTTCTAGTCACGTGCTGCCAGCAGTTTGACTGAAATTTACTATAGCGCCTCCTAGATAAAGAGTGAAGAAAAGGAATTAGCCTGTGAATAATATTATTTCACATTAACTTCCTCACCTACTGAAAGACTAACATAAAACAAAGTGTCTCCTGGATTACAGTACATAGCTGAAAACTAAATTTTTACATTCAAACATCCCAATAGAAAATGTAGAAGAAAAAGTAGAGGAAACTTGTGAATTATTGCCCTATTGTGATGCAAGACAGAGGCTAAATTTGCTCTGGGTTTTCCTTCATTACTAATGTTATTTCCATGGGTGATGATTTGCAGTATGAACTATTTGAGAGATTTATTAGCAATTTTCAAGCTGAATGTAGCTTTGTGGCTAGCATTTGGCTACTGTCTCACACCAAGTGATTTCAAATAACACATTCAACCTTTCAAGCCAGTTATCCCATAGGATGGGAGGTACTGTACACTTTCTTAACATTTCTAAGCAGACTAATTCAAATTTACAATATGCTTTGAGGTTCTCTGGCAGCAAGAGCTAATGTAACCCAAAACATTATGAGTTTATTTAATGGCCAAGATAATCCTTTAGAACTATTTCTGACTATACATTTGATACTCGCTGCGATAGTTTTGAATAAAAGTCTGGATAATATACAATAATTTTATTTTTGAAATTTTTACAGTAAGAATATATTCTTCTTAATGGAAACAAGAATAGTAATCTTCCAACTTAAATATTCATCACCCAAAATTACTTTTTACTTTTTCTTGAATAGGTCACCATCAAACATGCATAAGCTTATTTTTTATGAACTTATTTGTCTATATTTAGTAGCAACTCTGCTAAAAAGACAAAGCCACATTGTTTGTAATAATCTCATATTTAAGTAATCTTAAATGATAAACTTTTTAATATGATGAAATTATATTTATTAGTATCATTAAAATTTATAAATATATTATTACAAAATTTTAATATAATTAAATATATTGACATTTCATTGTATATTCAAATGTATTGGATTAAATATATTTAAATAAATTGAAATTTAATATAGTGGAAGTTAATTGGTATATATTAAAATTTATAATTAAGAAAATATGACAAATTTCTTACTATACAATTCTGAGGCCAGATGAACAAATATGTTCCTTTAATCTAAGTAAGAGTTATATACAGGATTTCATCTAAGTATAAGTTTTGAAAATGTCAGTTGCCATTTAGAAGTAGGAAATAAATCTGCATCTAGATGCTATTTATTTTTTATTAAATATATATTTTACAAAGTTTAAGTTCGTGATTTATCTACTGGTGGAAGTTATTCATAAAATGTCATGAAATATTGCTGAAAGAGTGAACTAAAGAATATTTAATTAAAAATTTTTATAAAACACTTTAGTACATTGGATACCAAAATCATTTGAAATTAAAATGTTTAAGTGTGACAACAAATTTATATTAAAAGCTTTTATTTTAGGTTTGAAAATGTTTTGAGGTACAATGTTTTCATTCTCTGTATTTTCTTGATTTTCTGCAATTTTTAGTTTTGGTCTGTCCAAGCAATGCAGTATTTAAAAGAATAATTTTCATGAGGAATTGAGTATAGTATTTTGTTTTTATTCTTGCTTTCAATTTCCATTTACATTGCAAAACGTAAGAGAATGTTCTCTGTGTAATTTCTGCACATGGAATGTTTTACATTTAACTTTGTAACCTAATATATAGCCACATTTTTAAAATGTCTCATACCATTCTAAATGAGTGTATTATGGAAATTTGCTTTTAAAAAGTAGTTAGAACATTTTCTAAGTAAATGCTTTTTTTTTCACTACTTTTTTGAGTTTGTACATATGCAAATATTATGTACTAGAACTTTATATAAATTCATAAAATTCCATCAAACTGGCAAAATACACCCTCACTTCCCAGTTCGTACCTGTATTGGACAAAATTAATGGAGAAATTGCCTTTATATAGCCTTCTTTGGCTTTTTCAAAAAATAAAGGAATGTCAAGACTCATCATGAATTGAGGATTCTGGAGCAATGATAGAAATTCCATTTTAAAACCAAAGTTCCCTGCTTTTCTCAAGTACAGGCTCTTCTGCAAAAATGGCAAGTGATAAAGGGTTTATCATCCTCACTTAACAAGTGGTTTTCCATTTGGAGATTCTTTTTTTTTTTTCATCTGAATTACATTAGCAATAATTTAATATGAATGCTGGAAATCTCCCTAAGGCAAAATATCCTTAGGAAACTGATAGGATTTGCCTTTTCATGTTGGCTGCAGTGTTGAATAACATTTCCATCACCTCTATAAAGTACTTATTAAAGGACTATTTGCACATGGTGAAAGGAAATTGAAGACACAAAGTCCTTACTCTCTGAACTAATCTAAAAGAGAAATTAAATAAGAAGAGATATATATCCATACGTTAAAATATTAATACAAAAATTGAGTGCAGAATGTTTAAAAGTGAAGGAAAATAAGACAGCATCTTTGCAGTGCCTATCCTGTTCTAGACCTCACACCACAAAATATTTTATTTGATACGGAAACTCAGAAATATGCTCTGAAGGTTGAATACTTCAAGATAATTAGGTAGCACATACATCTAGGGCCCTGGCATTAGAATCAGGCAAAGCTGAGTACTCATGTATGGTGACATATGGTATTTTTACAGTGATTGTTTTTTTTTTTTTTAAATCGTGTTCCAAATATATACCATGGAAGATTACTCAGCCATAAAACAGGAATGAAATAATGTATTTTACAGCAATTTGGATGGAACTAGAAACCATTATCCTAAGCAAAGTATCTCAGGAATGGAAAAGCAAACACCACATGTACTCTGTAATAATTTGAAACTAATCAATGGGCACACATGAACACCAAGAGATGTGAAGGTCATTGGAAATCAAAAAGAGGGAAGGAGGGTGGAGGTAAAAACCTACCTATCAGGTAAAATGAACACTATTTGGGTGTTGGGCACACTAATAGTCCTGCTTAAGGATTATAAAAACTATCTATGTAACAAAACATTTGTACTCCCTTAATATTTTGAAATAAAAAAAAAATAGTCTTCCCTGGCCCTGGCTGGTTAAAAATTTATTAGGTTTCATTGTTAGTGTAGATGATAGATAGATACATAGATAGGAATAGTTTATTTGTGATAAAAAAAAAAGTAGTGTAATCAAAGAGTTACCATATTTCATTGAATGTAGGAGATACCATTATTTTATGTATAACAAAAAACATTTATTGGCACTTAAATTATGACAAATGTGATATGTCAAGGAGGTTAAAATGTGTAAAAAAATTTACATCTTAGAATCAATTTCTCTAATAACAATTTTTTGAGATGATAAATGAGTTTGAAAAATATAAATTGCATTATAAAATTATTTTATCATTGCTTTTATTATTCACTCAAGAAAAATAATTAATGAGCCTTAAAATAACTGATACACATTTGCAATGACAAGACTGTTGAATAAAATTTTCTTAAGAACCTTGACGTCATAGATGATTAGTTGAAGCAATGTCAACACTCTAGTTCTCTGCTTAGATCTTTACCCTTTTCTTCATAGAATGTGTGTTTTAGGGAATCAATTATCTCTTGATAATTGTTTACAAGATCTGGAATTACTTTGCAAGTTAAAATGAGTGAGATTAAGAGATTCTACATAGTTAAAATGTAAAAGAAAGCAATTTACCAAGAACCTTCAGGAAGTTGGTATCATTAAATCTTTTAGTCTTTTGCCATTGGTTGAAGCAAAGTGACAAATATGCCAAATCTTTGCTCTGAGCTATCATACACTCCTCCATACAAAATGTCTATTTTGATCTTTAAATGAATTTGATATATATGGAGTTTTATTCATTTATGTAAAATTAAATAAAATAGTTCCTAATAGAAGGCACTAAGGACACAAATAAATGTGAAGAATTACTCAAAAGTAAGAAAAAGATGAACCCAAAATTATGTGGTTTAATGCTGGTTGTTAAATAAAGCTCCTTCCATATGATAACATCAATATTACAAATAGTTGTGACTCATCCAAGTTATTCTTTCCTACATCTTTTCTTCCTCTTGTCCAAAAGTGTGCACTACACTGAGGATTTCTGACCACACAAAAGATAAATTCATCTTGAATATATAACAAACTGTGTTAATGAAGACCCTAGCAAAGAAAAGAAAAGAGCTAAAGACTGCTGGACTAAATCTATGGTTCCCCAAAGTGGTTACCTAGATAGGTAGAATATAGTCTCAGCTAGCAGCCAGAATGAAAGTCTTAGCAAGGAAGGCAGGTCATTCAGAACTCTGCTAAAAATTCTCCAGTACCACTTTGTTTTACTAGGAGTAAAAGCTGAAGTCCTTGCACTGTTCCTTCAGGCCCTGCATGATCTATGCTTGCCCATACCTACCCCATTAAATCTCCCACCTCATTTCCTATTGCTCTACGCAGGACAGGCATGTGTGTTTCTTATTCACTGTTTCCTAGAGTAGTAGTAGGTACTTGATTAATATTTTTTTTCTGAATGAACAAATAAATGACTGACATTACTCCCCCAAGAATTAAAGGTTTGAAGTTGGGAAGAGGACAATGGGAAGATTTCTCACTTCATGTCATACATGTACACTGAGTGTGTCCAAACTGTACTCAAAATACCTTCTTCTTCCTGAGCTCCAGCCTAAGACAGAAGTGATTTATTTTGGAGTTTGAAGAGTCACCTTGCCAAAATTCTATGACACTCAACAGTCTTATATAATCACACCAAAAAGCATATTAAAAAGCAGATCTACAAGCCGGGTCTATTAACTAATTCATTAGTCTATGCTGAATATATAATTTCATTAATAACTGTTTTACAACTACCAAATTTTGGCATACTGAATTTCTTTATTCAAAAAAAAAAAAACTATTCTGCATTTGAATTTCAAAAGGATATTACACATGTACCACAGATTCAAAATATGAATTGTCTGGCTTTATTTACACCAGGTTGGATGATGGTGGGGACTCTTGATGTAATGAGATCAAGTGTTAGGACTGGATTGTAACAAATAAGGTGCCTAAATAAGAAAGTAAGATATGCATGATTTTACTCACCTGCATAATTCATCATTTCGGCAGCTGTGAATTACATTGAGGCAAGTAGGGGGTGGAACTCTGTTCGCTGCACATGGCTTGCCGTGAAGAGCTTCTTTGGACTGCTGACAAGGTATATCAGATTGAGCACAGTCACAAAAAGCCAACATCTGGGCAATGTTAAAAGGCATATTTTGATAGAAGAACCGTATGGCTGCTTGGCAGTGTTTCACATCACACGGATTTCCATTTGCTGAACAAGCTTTAAGGTAAGGGGCCAACTGTGCATTACAGACCACATCCTCCACACACGCCTCTGCCACTTCCAAACAGGACCAGATCCCTTTGAATCCTGAAAACAATGACATGCCCAGATCGTGGAAAACTAAACAGGAAGCTGTATATACAGAAACTGCAAAACACTGTGAGAAGTCTGTGAACAAAATACAAATGATGTACTGATGTGCTATTTTTGGCAAACATTCCTTTTTTTTAAGGGTAAGTATCAACTTACTAAGACCTGAATAGTGGACTGTTGGAATCATCTTTCACCTCCACTGGATACGTATTGTGATCTAGAGTGATGAGAAGTGTGTAGGGCCAAAACTGAGCTGGAGGAAAAATCTCCCAGTCCAAGTTTCTCAAAAGTAAAAAATAAATCTTCAGAAATTGTATTTGAACTATATAGTTTATGGTGAGTTCATTGGTCAAGGCACAATGATTCTCATTCTGTTGTACTTTTTATTGTGGGTGGCATTCTTGAATAAAATCTCCATGTAGTTATACTTGCATATAGAGATGTCTACATTCTGGAAAACACAGGTATATGTGAATGCCCCTCCTACCGCATGCATAGGCAAAAACAGTTGGCTCTAAATGATTTCAGTGATCAAAATATCCGTGAAATGTAATCAAGACTATTTTTTTAATTGTAAGTATTCCTCAGCACATCCATAGATGATGAGTGGGCAAAGAAGTTCCTTTGATATGTCATCACTGGAGGACATATAATGATTTTGTTACATTTTCTTGTATTAGAAAGGTTACATGATTTATTTTGTATTTGCATACCTTTAAGAAGCCTGGTAACTATTTTTAATTATATTGTTTAGTATTTGCAATGTGGATCAAAAGTATAATTTATAAATATTACCGTGTTGAGAAAGAGTAGTTAGATCCAATTTAAATTTATCCTCTTCCATGTTATCTAGAAGGAAAACAAAGAATGTATTTTGTTATTGAATGATTTTCTAAATTTCTTAGGAGAATCTGGGCTAAATTTATGAATAAGTGAACAAACAAAAATACATAGAAGTTCATATAACACTTATTTAACCCTTGATCTTCAAAATTAGTGCAGTACAGATGGGGAAAACAAACCTTTGTAATATTCAAGTGGGTTCAACAGCCCTGCTCCAAGGATTCAGTTACTTGGATATTTATACAAATACTAACAAGTAGACCATGTACACTGAAGTAAACAAAGACTTATCTGGGGAGAAAAAAACAGAAGAAATATTGTCAGAACCCTCCCCCACCCCAAATCCCCTCCTAAGGGGATCTTAATTAGATTGAAATGCAATGTAAAAACTATTTCCACCTCTGATTATCTATCGTCCAAGAGTCCTTAGAAATTATAATTTTAGAATTGGAAAATCTCATCAATAGAAGTGCATTCAAATGGCCATCTAAACTCTAAAATCTTTCATTCAAGGACATCCCCCTTCTGTGCATTGGGTGATAGACAGAGGAGGTAAATCTGTAGTCTTTGTCATTGAGCATCCCAATGCCTGGTAGGAAATGTAGACAAATAAACCAAAGTCAAAATAATATACAAGAAGTACTAATAGACATATCCATGAAGTGGTAAGGGAATTGGAGGATTAGAATTTATTTTAAGCTTTTTCCATTGGATATTAAAATATTAACTTTGGTTATGGCACAAATGTCCTTTCAGGACTCAATTTGTCCTGAGCTAGGCTGTCTGTTCATATTCTCTGCCTATCAGTCTACTGCACACATAAGATGGTACAATCATAGGAAAATTCTTTTTACCCCCAGGTGGTGTGTCACAGCCTTTTCAGACTCCCTGTATTGTCCCAGCTATTCTCACTAATACATGATTTCTCGTTGTTTATTATTGGTCAAATATTAGCTTTAAGAACCACTACTTCTTTTTGAGTCCACCCTCCTGTGTCTCTGAAGAAGACTGGGACATATCCACTTCTGTGCTACTACTATCCCATGTTGAGTGAAATCTCAATAAATAGATCCCAGTTAGTCATATAGCTTTTGTAACAAATACAGAAGTCCAGGTTAGAAATCATATTACTTTTATGGATCAACATCTCTGCATTGGGAATGATTAGGATGGCTGGGGCCACTGACTAAAACATAGTCAAGAAACTAACCTCGGGACGTAAGTAAACACTGGCTTTACTCACTGTTATGGATTGAATGTTTGTGCCCCTCAAACTTCTCCTCCCAATTCATATGTTGAAGTTCTAACCAACTGTGTAGCTCTGTCCCTAAGGACGTAATTAAGGTTCAATGAGGTCATAAGAATGGGGCTTTGATCTGATGGCATTAGTGGCCTTCTGAGCAGAGACATCAGAGAGAGAGAGCTCTCTCTCTCCCCCTCCTCCCCCCTCTGGAGCATACGACAAGGAAAGGCCATGTAACAGCATAGTTAGAAGGTGGCTGGCTATCTACAGATCAGGAATAGAGAGGAGCCCTCATCAGAAAACAGACCTTTCTGGACCTTGACCAGGGATTTCTGGACTCCAGAACTGTGACAACATAATTCTTTCTTTCTTTTTTTTTCTTTTGCTTTTTAAGCCATCCAGTCTGTGGTGTTTTGTTACAGCAGCCTGAGCAGACTAATTCACTGACTATATGAGTAATTGCTACCAATGCAACAAAACAGTTATTTTTAGTGTGGGCAAAATAAAGTCCATGTTGGGTAGTATTATCAATATATTTTATAAGCTATGAGTAATATGTTATAATAAGTTACACATTAAATGCCAATTTCATATGAAAATATAAAACATTTCATATTATATATGAAATTACCATTTAATGTGATATATATATACAAATATATACATATAGACACACACACATAAATATAAGTGCATACACCAAACACACACACACACACACACACACACACACACCTTTTTCCCAGAGGATATTTTAAACAGTAGCTTAATTGCTGAAGAGGAGCTGAAGGATAATATGTTGTAGGAATAAATAGAAGTATTCACCAACCAGACCTGCATCTGAGTTATAAATTCATATATAAATGTATCAAAAAATACACAATGTGCCCCCCAAATATACTCTACTATCTCATATTAAATTCATAATCATTCCCATATATTTGCTCTCCCTTAACATGATAGTATCAGAAATTAAGTTTATGTAGATATTTTGATTGGAATTTTATAATCTGATAAAAATATGCTTATGATAAGCTAATAAGCATATTTCTATAAAATGATTAGTCAAATTAAATGCAATGGAAATTTAATTTTGAGGGAATATGCACCAACATTTAAAGCAGAAGAAGATCCTCAGAGACAGAAAGGAATCATCCATGGAAGAAAGAAGAAAAGCAGGAATGTAGTCTTTTGCAAGCCTGGCCTTTCTCTAACCTCATCTACATATAGCTCGTATTCCTTTCCCATATAAAGCATACCATGGTAGCATGAGAGGTGTTTATATCTACCTTGTCAGTTTCGCAGCTTTCAAAATATTAATTATTCACCATTACAAAACATTTCTCCTTCTCTGAATTTTATGCTATCTGGTTGTGCCTTCCTCTACTCTCTGGTCAAATACTAGCCTCAAAGTCTTACCCTGATGTTCATCACTGACTTAAGTCCTGTCTTAATATTCTCTTCCACCTCAAATCTTATTGTGCTGGGTTATTTCTGTATCTCTTAGAAAAACTCAACTATCACCCTTACTTCTCCATTCATTAACTATAGCTCTTATGATACTCACCTACTCCAACTATGCCACGCCAACGACCAAATTCTCGACCTGACGTTGACTCAAACTTCTCTTTCAATTACAAATATTAATTATCTTACCCTCTTCCAAAAATTTCATATTCTCTATCACATCAACTGTATATTGCCCCAGAACTTTCATCATTATATTTCTTCCAAATCTTTGGATCATCTTCTGAATTCACTGACCTGTTAAAGTCTACATCACACTTTCTAATAGATGAACAGTTTTCTGTCATTGTTTTTCCCTTCTTGTTTCTTTTTTTTTTTCCCCACTGCTTCCTTAGAAAAACTGCAACCCTATGAAATTTAACTGTGTGGTTGTTTGGCTCACACATATATACTGTTTTCTTTTCTCACAGAAAAATCACACAATCATGCAAACTGGCATCCCTACAAATTAAAAACATAATGACCCCCAATTTTTCTTCTAAAATACAGAATTTCAGATGTCACCAGATATTATGCATTTACCTCAAGCTGCATATCTTACCATTTTCTTCATCATTCTCATAAGATGACCTTGATTTATACTTTAGTAGAACCCCTTTAAGCTGGAGGGCAATGCTGGGAAAATGGCATGGAAATTCCTTGAGAGCAGGAACTAAATCTTGTTCTCTTATATTTCTACCAATAACATTCAATAAACATATTTGAAAGAATATTGGATAAATATTATTCACCATTTAATCCCTGCCTAAGCAATTTTTACGGCTCTAAATTATATGCATCAGCATACAGACCTAATTTTTTCCATCTCTTTTAAAAATAAAGTTCCTCTCTTTACCCCATTTCTTTCTTCAAGCTTTGCCCTGTTTCTTTCCTCTCTAATAATCTTTCAAAGTGCTATCTATATTTTCTGGCTCCAATTTCTCTCCTCCTTGATCCTTAATTTCTCTATGAAATCATCTGACCCTCTTCCATGCCTACTTGAAACTCTTTTTTCATACTTTCTTGTTTTATGCTCTCTCTATGGCAGATCCTTTCATTGCTGCTTCCTCTTCTTCTCCCATATCAGTAAATGTTGAAGGACCTGCAGTGGACCTCTTCCATGTTTTTTTCTCTTATTGACTTTCTAATATCAATATAAATCCAGAATCTGATATTATGTCACCTAGCTACCAAACTGGTCTAAGACACCACACATTTCTTTGTTAATCCCAACCTGAAACAATGTCCTGCTGGAGTCCATCTTCATAGTCTTCTTGGAAGTCTAGAACTTGATTCATCTGAGTATCCTGTATGCAAATGTCTTTAAACAAACTATCCCAAATTTGAATGCAGTCTACTTTTGAAGGGTCAGTGCATTGACAGTTCCACAAAATTGTTCCTTTCAGATTTTCTCTTAATGCTGCACACAGTTGGCCTCCCTCAAGGGTCTTGCATTGTTCTGCTTCTCTCCTACAGGTTTTCTTAAAATTCTCATACAACAGAATGCAATGTTCAGATTCCTGGCAGACATGTGCTGCTATGACACAGTCACTGTTTGTTCCAGCTGTTAATGATGTGTCTTTGTGATGGAACCATTGTGTGATATTCGACTGTGAAACCAAATCTGAGGATTGTGTTGATTCTTCTAAAAATAAAACAAAAGAATGAATGACTAAAAATTACATGAATCCATTGATTTATGACATTTTAATGTTTTTAAAAATGCATAGGCATATTATCTATAACTGTTGCAATATTTTTCATTCAAAAACCATTGAAAAATTACTTTGAAAGCTGTTACAAATCACCTTGCATTTTTAAAATTGAGATATAGAACACTGGTAATTCATATTTTGTGTAACCACATAATATTAATGTTTAATTACTTTTAGTGATTTTTGTCATCATTATTTACTTTTGTCTTCTTGTTACATTTTCATGATGATCTTTATATCCCCTAGTGTTTATATAATGTCCACATATATTAATTTAATAATAAATATTTTATGAATGAATACATTAGATGCTCAAAATATGTTTAATGAATTAGAAATATTTACATTATATATTTATCAAACATTGCTAAATGTCAATCATCAGGTTTTGGTGCTTTAACATATTAGAACAAAAAAAGACTCTGACTCGGGTAGGGCAAAGGCAATATATGTAACCTAAACATTTGTACCCCTGTAATATGCTGAAATTAAAAAAAAATGTCAAAGCTGATTTTCTCAAAAATAGAAAAGTGTATGTCTAT